GAGGACACGGCTGGGGGGTCGTCGTGCGGGGGGGGGATGTGCCGACCCCGGGGCTGGAGTCTGCCCGAGGCAGCTGAGGGGGCACCCACAGGACCGGGTCCGGTGCCACCGCAGGGTGCGGGGGGGGGTCCCCCACCCTCCCCAAACCTGCACCCCGACCTGCACGTGGTGCAGCGGGGGGAGCAGGCACAGGGGTGGGTCGGCAGGTACTGGGCGGGGGTGCTGGCAGGCCCGTGGGAGCGCCGCTGGGCAGGTTAATGTGTCACTGGGCTGCGGCAGTGGCGGCACGGGTGGGAGGGGACGGCAGCAGGAGCGGGAGCGGTAGCACAGGTAGGCGGTCGGGTGCGGGTCGGGTGGCGGGGCTGAGCCCCCGGGGAACCGGCAGCAGCTGCGGCCCAGGGTTCCCCAGGCGGATGGGATGGGTCACCGCGTCCTCGTGCCATGCCAGGGGCTGCACCGAGGCCCTGCCAAGCTGCCTCGTGCCGGTGGCACAACCTTTGCACGGGGCAGGGAGCGCCCAGGCATGGCGCCTGCGGGAGCCCGTACCTGCCTTGCCGCAGCGCTGTGGTCAGGGCAGGCCCTGCCAGCGGCTGTGTGGGGCTGGGACACCCACCGGGGACCCTTCCTGCCTGTGCCGGGGCCCTGCCTGTGCTGCCCCCAGAGCTGCTGTGCCACTGGGGCCGAGGAGTCGGGGTATGGTGGGGGCCGAATGCCGGGCACTGCAGGGTCCTGGGTGTCCCTCACCACGCCATGGCCACGTGTGCCGTGCCGGGCAGCGCCGAGCTGAGCCTGGCTGTGCCATGTGGGGCTGTGCCCCTGCGTCGGTGGCAGGATCTCCCTGAGGGCCAAGCACTGGCTCTGGGGCTGGGGGCTGGTGCCGTGTCAGGGTGATGCCGTGCTGCTCCCTGCCCACCCTCCCGCTGGCACCCCCAGGACTCTGGGAGCAGTTGCGGTGCTGGGATGGATGAGCGGCTGCGGGACCTGCGGCTGCAGGAGGAGAGGACCTTCCTGCAGAGCGTGGCGCGGGAGGAGGCCACAGAGCGGCCCCCCAGTCGGCGGCACAGTCGGGCACCCGCCATCGTCCCTGAGCCCCTCGCCAGTGACGCTGCTCTCTGTGTGCCCAACAGCCCCAAGTCACGCAGGTAGTCAGCAGGACCCCGGGGGGCCCGGGGGGGGGGCCAATGCTGCCCTGCTCATGCCCCTGTGTCCCTGTGCCCCCAGGGACCTCAGCCTGATAGCGGAGGCGGTGGGACGCAGCGAGTTCCTGCGGCGCCTGGGCGAGGGCTGCCCCGAGGCGCTGGCCCAGAGCTTCGCCCCCGTCTGGCACGGCCCCGGGGACACCGTGCTGGCTGAGGGCACCGAGGGCACCGCCATGTACATTGTGGCAGGTGAGAGCTCGGTGCCGGCACACGGGCTGGGTCATGTGTGTGCAGGCATGCCTGCATCTGTGCCGGCCCATGAGTGTGCATTGGGGTGAGCTCGTCTGCTGTGCCTGTGGGTGTTGGGCTGCCGCACCTGCGTGTGCCCACGCGTGCCTGTGCTGTGTGCATGTGATGCCGCTCGCCGTGTCTCTCTGCAGAGGGGCAGCTCAGTGTGAGCCAGCGGGGCCGGCAGCTCCGCATGCTGGGGCCAGGTGATGTGTTCGGGGAGCTGGCCATCCTCTACCACTGCAAGCGCACTGCCACCGTGCAGGGTAAGGGCAGCCCCCCACCCCACGGGCCCCGTGTCGGTCCCCCCCAGCCCCCCAGTGACACCCCTCTGCCACAGCGCTCAGCCCCGTGCGCCTCTGGGCCATCGACAGGCAGCGGTACCGTGCCATTGCCACCAGCAACGCCAAGCAGAGACGAGCCAAGATCCTGGGGTCTCTGCGAACGTGAGTGGGGCCCGGCACCCGCCGGCACTGCCCTTCGCCCCCGCCACCCCCAGGCCCCACACCCTGACCCCCTTGGGGGGAGGTTGCCAGCCTCTCCTGCCAGCCCTTGCCTGCAGAGTCCCCTCCCAGTCCCAGCCTTGTCCTCAGCATCATCCCCACCCCATGTCACCCTGTTCCCATCCCTGTCCTCATCCTTATCCCCATGTCCATTCCCATCTCATCTCCAGCCTCAGCTCATCCCAATCCCTGTTCCTGTCTGATCCCCGTTCTCGTGCCCAGCCCCACTGCCACCACATCCCCATCCCCTTCCCCAGCCCTGCCCACTGCCTGTGCTGGGCTCTGGGGTGCAGGAGCCCAGGCAGGGTGCAGGCAGGGTGCAGGCAGACCGCGGGAGCCCAGCCGGCCCCTTTCGCCCACAGAGTGCACTGGCTGCAGGACCTCTCTGACAGCCACCTCTGCAAGCTGCTGGATGCCATGGAGGAGGTGGGTGCCCAGGAAGCCCCCCCCCACAGGGCCCTGGGGGGGGCTGGGACACGTCCCCATGGGCCTGCAGCCCGTGGTGGGGTCGGGGGCATAATGCGGGGCCTGGGGCTGGGATGGTGGGGCTGGGACTAGCTGGGGGGGGGCTGCCTGCCCCCCTGCCTGTCCACCCCGCCCCCCCTCTGCAGTGCACCTTTGCGCCTGGCCACGTCATTATCCACGAAGGGGACGAGGGGCAAAACTTTTACATCATCCTGAAGGGAGAGGTGGGTACAACACCCCGCAGCACCGCGAAGCCCCCCACAATGGTGAGGGGCAGGGCCCTGCCCTGTGTCCCCCACCCCATCCCCCCGTCCCCACTCAGCCTGTTCCCGTGTCCTGGCACTGCAGGTGCGGGTGAGCCGGCGGGTGGATGGGCAGGAGAAGCTGCTCCGTGTCCTGGGCGCCGGCGAGCACTTTGGGGAGCTCTCCCTGCTGCAGTAAGTGCCCTGGCTGCCGTCCCCCCGTCCCCCCACCCTGGCAGCACCTGCGGTGCCACCCTGGCCTTGCCACCTGGCTCCGGTGTCACTGGCCGGCCTGGGCTTGCTGTGGACAGAGAGCTGGTCCCTGCGGTGGGGGGGGGGTCCTGGCAGTGCCACCCCACACCCCAGCACAGCCTGGGCGTCCGCAGCATCTCCAGAGAAGGGTGGGCACGGCTGTCGTGTGGTCACCTGCCTCTGCTCACACGCATGCCAGCCTTGCACGTGGACACATGGAGCTTTGAGCTTCGTGCTGTGGTGACACCCCCCCCTGTGGTGACACCCCCCTCCCCCCCGCAGTGACACCCTTCCCGCTGCCTGTGGCATCCCCAGGGCACCCCTGGTGCATGTGCCAACTCATCTGCACCAGCTCCCTGTGCACACCCAG